CAGTGTACAGTGGCGTGGGAATGACGCGAGAAGTCATACAGAATCCGAGATATCCGAGATAATTTGTAATTATCAAGAAGATATATAATTAGAATATTACAAGACATATACCTTTTACGCGTGGGGAAACGTGCTCTTAATATTTAAACACTTGTATAAAACAATAGTAATAGAATTCAAATATGTAAATGATTATAATTAATTAAAGACTTTGGAAACCTACATTTCCTCGTTACTTAGTTAGGATTCATTCCCGTTTATGTCAGTTACATTAAAATTCGTATTGTTATGAAAAATGATGTGAGTTGTTCTTCATGTCGGGATGTTTTATTATTCAGCCTTTCAGTTTATTATTCATGCAACCTTGCATTGTTCGATGAAATCTTAATAAGGTGAATTCCTCTCAAAATAGTTAGCGATAACTGCATTGTTTATTGTGGCATACTAATTATTACCTTGTATTATTACCATATACTTTATGAGGACCTTATTGTGTATAACTCAACACGTGAATGTACGTACAGCGGAAAGATTTCACTCTTGAATGTTTTTTTATCTGAGAATGGAATAGAATTAAAATTAAAAAATTTGTAATTAATTCGAATTTAATTTATATTTGTTTAATTGGTAGTTATATAAGACGATCTTTATGAAGATATAAAATATTTTTAAGTTGCACCATATATTTTAGGAAAATTAATATAAATCTTTAGACGTGTGTGTATAAGTCAATTATGACTCATAATTGGTTTTACGTATGGAAGTGCTCTTGTTCCAAAGTGAAAAGTTTTCATCGCGGTTTTCGTCGCGATGAGTACAAAGTGCAATATAAACTTGTCGCTGAATTAATGACGCATGACGTTACAAAAATTCACATGACATCCGTCAGTGAGATTAAAGATTTCTTCGTAGTTAGCAACGTCATCCACAACGTCCCTTGTAGCGACGCGTCGCAATTAAAGGGGCGCCTGTAAATTGCACGCGCGAATCTTTTCTCGACCCCCTCGGCTTCTCTCCCGTCCTCCTTACACGTCTCTCTGCGCCTTTTTTTCAATGTTCCCTTCATTTGCTACTATAATCACATGTAGATATCCCGCAGATCTATCATTCGTCGTGCGTAAATCCGTCACTGACACCACCAGCCTCGCTAAGGTTCAAGGCTTTCTCGGTATATACGCGCCGTACATATATCTCTAGGAAAATGAGAAAGCTGCAGGTGTGAAGGCATAAGTGTAGATATAAATAGAGCATAATTACGAAGCCGCGGTGAATCAATGGAATCGGCGTGCTCGCAGTAAGAACCTTGTTTGACACAATTAATGACCACAATGAGCTGTCGATGTAATGAGCACAGTGTAAAATTTATATTTTTTTTAAACAGTTATTTTTTTTAACACGACATACTGTGCATGTAGATACACTGTTAAATTCGTACTGTGTCAACTTATACCTAATTTTAGTCATTTTCAATTTGAATCATTCTTATAGATCGTTACTACTCCTACTCAATATGTCGTTAATTTGATTAAAACAATGTTAATTTGGCTAAAACGATGGAGTTAAAATAGTGCTTTGTGTTAAAATAATAAATTTTGATACACATGATAGTTATAAAAAGAACAAAATGTTATTTAACAAGGTATTGATTTATTTTTATTTCACGACTTAAAGAATTTCGTGGATTAATATTATCATGATTCGTATTGAATACAAATTGAATATAAATCAGCATGATAATGCGGCGAGGAAAAAGATATTTTATCAAATATCTTTTTCTATACGAGGAATGTGATTAAACATGTAATTGTCGCGAGTCCATTTCGGATTTTCCCTTAACCGGCAAAATCTCCCACTTCAGAATGGTTGCTCAAGGCTGAACTTTCCGGAAGCATTGCACATTAAAATTAATGACGGAAACATTCCTCGTGTCATGTAACGAATAAAATATATTTGTGATTATACATATATGTTTTCTTTGGTAAAGATTGTTTTTTATAGGATTTACATGAGATTCTTTCTCATTCTTTCTTGATATTGGATTTCTTATTTATAAATAATATAAGAACTTTTTTACATTGCATTAAATATTAAAACATTTGTTAATTAATTATTTACTTTTATAATTCCGCGGAACTTGATCGTGAAAGGTGTATCAGTCGATGTAATGTAGTAGGCTTTTTTATCATTAAAAGAAACGGAAAAGCCTCATACTTGTATGAGTCGTTTGTTACATATATACATCTACAACATATTTGTTGTGTGTAACAAATCTTAGATTTGTTACAACTTTTGCTTGTTACTACTTTGTTGCAACTTTCTAAAGATATCTAATAGTTGTTTCTTTCGCATTTATTCTGATCATCGCTTAATATCTCATAGCAAAAATTTATTGTGCTTTATGCGCAATTTTCAATTTGCGCAGCAATAGTTAGGTAATGTATCAGGACTGTCAGGATCCGCACGATCGGTCGATGCACGTGCGGCGTTTCTTTATGGCGGCATCAGACCGAAAATCAATTTTGAGACCGGTATCAATTAAGGCTGCTGCCGTTTATAGATTACGAAATACTGCACGGCTGTACATAATGCATTATGCGCCTGCGAGCGGGCCTGTTTACCTCTCGGCCGGATCGGCTTCAATGCCAAGATCGAACGACGGATTTGATCGGCCGCGAGGCTCTCCGAGCTCCGATCTGGGCGTACGAAGCGCGGAATGTCGAGCCAAATACAGCAGCCGTTTCGGTCGTGACGCGAATTCGCGATCGAACGGGAAGGGGAATATTTCGGCAGCGGTCGTTTACATTGTGGGCATGTCACGAGTATTGTAAGACCCGCTTGTGACCGGGTGAAACAGTTACGTGACGACCAGCGTCGACGATCATATAACGATTACACGCGCGACATTGATCTTCGCTCCGATTTCAATTACATCACTAAGGGCCACTTCGACCAAACTCCGATTAACTTAATCGTTGATTAGTCCATTAAAAATGACCAACCGCATTTGTCAATCTGTTTAATGAGCAAATGCGATTGGTCATTTCCAATAGACTAATAAACGATTAAGTTAATCAGAGTGTGGTCCTAAATGTCAATACTGTCAATAGTCATATTCTTTATGTTATTTTTATAATTTTAGACTGCTTACGATATTTCGCGGTTAAGGAACAGGTGCAGGCGCAACAAATTGCGCTCGTCTTATCCATGTGCGCCACTTTGTCGTTTGCATCTGAATACGCTCACGAACTTGTTCAGAATGAAAAATATGTGGAAGGTGTCGCTTGACAAAAAGGTTTCTTTTAATTAAAATTTACATACAGATGTCAGAACATGCGCGCTTAAGCGAGACACTATTAGATGTTTTTACACTACCACTGGAACTTTTTAAAATCGTATTGAAATGTAAAATGAATAAATTCGTAACACTAAGAAAATGTAATACGCAAAAATATGTATGCATGTTCCATAATAAAATATTGGGAAAGCATAATTAGCGCGCATATAATAACATTAAACGTGTTTATTGTTTTATTGATTATCGACCGTCGCTTTTGTAATAGGTCGTTCACTTCACGTTCTTTTTCCGTTCATCTATATTTTACAAAATAAGAGTTGTACATTGTTAGATTCATAGTGTCAAATTAAAAATTATACTCAATTTGAATCATTTTTAACCATTTCTATAAGTCACTATTGCTCGATATGTTAATTTAATTAAAACAACGTTAATTTAACTAAATCAATGGAGTTAAAATAATACTGTTTTGTGTCAAAATAATAAATTTCACATGGCAGTTAAAAATAACAAATATCTTAGTTTAAATTTCATCCTTTAATATTTAACAGTGTAAGCCTTAGCATAAAATATTCATGTTTTAATTCTTCACGTGGATTATTAGACGGTAAATATAATTTTACGATGAAAATTATTAGAAGGAGGGGGATTTATATTTACTGGCAAATTTATTATTTATTACATTAAATTTATATTTAAATTGTTATTTGCTCTTCCTATTTATTATTGCAATAAACACACAATCACATCGTCCAAGACGTAGAGTAGCGAGTGATCGTTATGAGTTAATAGTTTAATGAAATGACTACATAGATAAGGATCAAAAATAAAATATATTAATTTACGTCGCGTATAAAACCGATAATGAGGTACACATCGTAATAAACTATGAATGTCTCTGACAATTTTTGTTCTACCTGATAACGTGTAATACTCGATTGAGCTTTTGATTTCAACAACTGAATGAAAAGCGTTAAGAGAATTTCACGTCTTACGAGAATAAAACTGAGATGTCCATAAAGCATGTAGATTAGTAATGCCAAACACGATAATTACGCGCATTATCTCGGGATTTAAAAAAAGAATTACAAACATTTGGGCAACTTCACGCGTCGTTTGATTATCAATTATCGACTCCGACGCGGGGCCTTGGGGAACCGAGCTCCGTTATCTGATGCATTATAATCGCGGTGTATTTATGAGGCTGCTTAAATTTTCGGGCCAGTAACGCCTCGGACACCGAAATTTATGCTAATCACTTCCCCCCCTTCGTTAAAAATCCGCCAATCTATTTCCCAAGGAAGCGAAGAAATGCCCGACGATATTTCTACGAAGATTCAGATTCAGAACCATGCGGATAATAAATTATATCTGCGTCGATCATTCTTGATGATCTCGAAAACGTTCAATTAAAACGGAATTCATTTTCTCTCATTTAAACACGAACAAACGCTGTTTGTTCATTCGCCGGTACCGCAGTATCTTCCGCACATGTGCAACTCCCTAAAGATTAATCGATTTAATCACTTTTCGCTAACGAGCTAACGTCTCCAGCTTGCGCAAATTTTCAAAAAAATACGCGTCTACGCTTTTCACATTTTCAATTTTTACAATTTAAAAGAAAAACGCGAAGGACGTGCGCCGAAAGCGCACGGATTTTCCGTTCACTTTCGCAAACGTGAAAGAGACAATAACGTGGACTCACATTTCGATGCATTCGGCAAAGAAATTCCGTCGTCTGTCAGTCGTCCGTCATCTCGCGAACTCTTCCGTTTCCTGGGGGGGCCCCCCCGTGGATCCCTCGTGGTCCTCGGGAACTCGCGTCGCAGCGTGAGAGCCGCAAACTTTTCAGTAACTATTCTGAAAATCGGTTGCTGATCGTGGCACGTTCCCGAGAGGGAGTAAGTCCTGAGGACGCGGATGGCTCCTACTTATAAAGACTTGGCCAAGACTTGGCTCTCCAATTGGCCTGCCCCGGTGTGCGTGGAGCACACCGGGCACGCGTGTGTGTGTACGTGCACAGTGCGAGGAAGGCATAGCGGCCGCGTGCAGGTGGTGGAAGGGGGCACAAACCGTGTCCCGATCGTTACACGCTCGATGTTACACATTACACCGGGGAGCCGCCGATGCCGTCCAGGAATTCGCGCCTCTTCACCGGGGAATGCGACACCGCGTCTCGCGTGCGTCCGTTGAATCGCATTTCTCGCATTCGAGCTAGTTACCGCCGCATAGAATTAGCAAGCGTTAAGCGCCTCGTGCGTATAGAACTCTCGCGTGAGAAACTAAATATATAACGATTCGCGATTTCTCAATTATCTCTCCTTTTAGCAAAAAAATGTCCCTCGACTCGTGAGCGAAGAATATACGTGACTGTGTTTTTCTCGTTTTCAGTTTTTTATATGATTTATAAAAGAAAAACGTGAAGAATGTCTTCATCGCGTGCCCCCTTTGCAATTAATACATGTCAACGTTATTCCATACAAAAGTGTACTTTTTGTGGAGCAAGCCGGAGCCTATAACAGCATTTCTCGATTCTCGAGGACAGTCGGCAGTGATGGTATTTTTGTGTCTTACGCAGGGTAGCTATCGTTTAAGGAGTAAAACTGCGGAGCAGGTTTCATTAATTCGTGCGCGAAGACATCCGATACTGATAGAAGTCGGAGTTGAACGCACCCCGGAGCTCACGCAAAGGGGGGGAACCGCCGTCGTCGTTGTCGCGGCATGCCGATCTCGTGAAAAACGGATACGAAAGCGAGTCGTAGACGCGGCGCGTCGACAGGAAAGTAAAGCCAATGCGTTGCAGCATCCAGGATCGAGTTATGTAGACCGTCGCGATTCGCGATCCTTCTGTTTCACGGCCTTGATCGCGCGCCGGGTGCATCTTCTGTGCCAACCCGCGCGCGCGCGCGCGTGCGTTTTTTCGCGCCACGTCGCGGCGCCGATACGGTTTTCCCTGCCCGGATCGGCCCGTGGAACAGGTTCCCCCAGGTTTCCCCGCTATTTATATCAGCGGTAATGAATCTGATAGAAAGATTTTTTTTTTAAATAAGTTATCCGAGTAGCCGCGAGTCACGCAATGAATGAAAAGAGAGGATCAATGAAATTATTGAATCGTTCACCTAATTACCCAATCAACCATTATTAAAAAACGTCTTCGTACGTGTTACAGATACCTAATATAAATGTAACAGAAAATAAAACGGTGAACCCAAAACTAAATGGAATATATACGGAGATACAAGTTTGCAAATCTGACAAAATTCATCGTCAAATAAATTTAATTTTTAAACGAATATTTATTTTATTACGAAAAATATTGCTTAAAGGTACACTTATTGTTACTTTGATAAAATTCAAAATCAGAATATTAAACGAAACATTATGTTAATTCGTACAAATACCGAAGTTGTCAACAAGTGAGACCGATGCTCTAATAACGATCTTGTTCCACATAATTCTTTATCTGACGAGTAACGACGAATAAATAAAGAAGAAAAACAGCATATTTTGCGGCTCCTTCCAATCCAGTGTTTACCAGGAGGATTTACGAAGAGCGCCTCGAATAATAAGAGACCGACATTACTATTTATGGGCTATGATTGGGCTATCGTGATATGATCTTTTTTTTCTATCAAGGTCAATCGTTAACTTAAATTACAGATGACGTCGATGACGGTCACTGCTCCGGCGCGGTTCGACGAACTTCCGGCGACAGGATGCTGCAAAAATTATACAAGAATTGACTATGAAAACATGGGACGCGGACGAGAGTGTGAAAAAAAAAAAAGATACGATAAAGACGAAAATGTTCGGACCCCGTGACGGACCCGAGGTCGCGATTATCAGCGATCATCAACGATTGTTCTTCGCGTGCCGTACCCTATCCCAAGTAACGAGGAATCCCGTGGGAACGTGGGACGACGCTCGCTCATTTATTTTCTATCTACGCCGTACAAACATTCTCGAGGACAACTAGCAGCGGCAACGAGAAGCATTGAACTTTCCGGTTGCCGCAGCTTCCGCAGAGCCTCCAGCCTCGTCCCCGCGTTCCGGATAATCGATTTCCTTTATCATCTCCATTTAAAGTAAATGCAGATAGATCTTTTAATAATTCTTCTTCTTGTTATCGATACCGGCTAACCGGTTTTCAAGTCGCGCTAGTTTGTTCCCACAATTTGCGTTAATATTTAGATTCTTTGATATCTTAAACAATTTATAATTTTTCAACATCTTAAGTTATTTGACTCTCTCAGTAAATTTAAATAAAATAGTGAAATAGAGTTGAAGCGATATACTGTGAGAACAAATGAAAGCTTATTATTACAATGAATTATATTTTCCTTCAAATTTCTTTTTGTATTAAAAATCCATATATTAGTACCGTTCGAACTGTTTTGAAGCTTAAACATTTCCGTCATACTTAAAATTATTGAAACTGTTTGTTCGCAGGATTTAAATGAATATTTTCCCCGAGCTGGCCTTGTAAAATACTACGAAACATCCTGCATGAAACGCTCGTTTTTTATACATATAATGCTTCTCATAAAATATTCCACTTAATTATATTTATTCTACCATGTATTTTATGCAACATTTGGATCTCGCTGTGCGTCACTTTTCAAAAACGTGCTCTGCCACCTTCTGAAACTTATACATTAAGGGGCAAACTGCCCTTGTACACACACGAACTAAACGTATGCACAGAAAGGGAGTACAATGGATCGTACTTCAAGGTATACGCTCGCCATAAACGTTCCGAGGAAAAATCCCGGAGTCGTGGGTCCTTCGCCGGGACGTGCATGATCCCCGTGTCGTTGCAGATCCCCGAAGAAAGAAACGATCCATTCTACGGAGGAAGGACTCTGAATTAACGAGCCGCGGAATAAAGCACGGAAGTACCAGCCTGACCCATGAATTATTCGTTCATAAAGACAGACGCGCGATTCACCTGTCTCCAGGATTTTTATTTTGTTTAACGTAATAACGGCAGCTAACACGAACGTTTGCACGCAACGGTGACTCCTCGCTACTATTCATTCAT